GTATATTATAATATTAAAATCAATAGTTGGAATATAATACCGATACTAACTTTTTATTTGTCAAATTACATTTCGAGTTTCTATTTAAATCTTATCAGTTGGGTTATATGTTAAAAAATTTCATATAATTATTCATAAAATCTCTCTTCTTGGTACAATGAAATTTGTATGTAAATGACCCACATCTACACATGTCAAAGTGTTTTTCTTGGTAAAATATTTCACAAATTTTTATCCGTCTGGATCCGTATTTTATTCATTTTTTAAAATACAATAATACCATCTTTAATTTAATAAACATATCACAATAAAACATTGCTATAAATACTAAATTTATTTATCCTCATTAGTATTTACATTTTATAGATATATCTTTCATTTGTATTACTACAAATTAAGTCAATTTTTTTACGACCTAAGATTTGGTCACTTTTATCTTAAAAATTAAAAATTAACATTATATAATATCTGTATATTATATATTTTTTTTTCATAATCATGTTGGTTAAACAATCGTATGAAATTGATCTACTTTAATTTAAATAAATTTGGTCTAATTTAGTTGGATCTTTTCATTTAATTCAACTTGTATTGTATTAAAAAATTGTTTTTTTCATCCCAATTTAGCTTAGGATTGGAATGTGGAATATCATAATAATGTTTTAATAAATTTTATGATTCGATAAAAAAAGAGTAGTTTTTGTAACAAATCGAGTGATATCTTAAAAATATGAGTATCGAAAGTTTGGAAAATATAGGTTTAAACAACAATATATATAAATTTAGTTGTTCTTAACAACATAATAATAATATTATATTTAATTTAATAAATATTTCAAAATCAAACATTGGATGCTAAATTTATATAATCTCATCAGTATTTCAACTAACTCATTTTGTATATTTAAATTTGCACTCTATTTATGTCCATTTTGTTTTGTCGACCTTCTTTTGGCCACGGTCAAAAGATTAATATCACAAAATAATATTCTATCAATTTCTACACTATAAATTGAATATTTCGTATTTAGAAGATTCATAACTAAATTATGTAAAGATGATGCTTTGAACAAACCATGTAATTATCTACTCCGAAATATCAACAATATGTAAATATAAATCTATTAAACGAAAATATAAATATATTTTCTTTATTTAAAATAAAATGCTATTTATAATACTAAATATTTATATATTTAGCTATGACAAATATCATAGTTTATAAAATATCAATCGATGCCCTTTGTTTTCATTGAAATGTTGTAATAAATTAGTGATATATATACATTTTTTTTACGAATATAAATATGTTATCCTAAGTTTATCTATTAAGTAATTTTGATTTTATCTTGTATAATAATTAAATTATGTAGTTCGATAATATTAATTTTATTAAATTATGATATAATTAAAAATTGAATATTTTCTAGTATTTTTTTCAAATATATTTCTTAAAAAATAAATAAAGATAAAACATGTATTGGTTTCTTTTTAAAAATATTATATAGACTTGAAACGATTGAATTTGGATACTTACAATAACGTTACGATAATATTACGATGTGAAAACCAGTTTTGAAATCCCCGTTAAAACGTTAATTTTGTTTTATATATAAGTCTCACAAATCCTGTAAATATCTTCTATGAGATGCAAAATATTTCTAGCGAGAGAAGGAGATATAGTAGAAGCTTAACCGGGGTTAAAAAAAGGTCTTGATACCTTTAATTAATCTGCACGTATCATCATCATCATAGTCATCATGATCAAATTTGCATACCAATACATACATACACAAAGAACACAACTAATTAGTTCATATATTACCGTGATCATTTTCTTATGTTTCTTATCTCCAATTTGATTTTGATTCTCTTATCACGCTTCTTTTTCGAAACACATATGTTTTTTTTAGTGTTTCTTTTAGAAAACAATTTTAGCTATACGCTACAAATTAAATTTGCAAGTTGTAACAGTAGTTTCAACTTTGTATGCAAAGTTTTGTATGGTTCTACAAAATACATATAAGAACTATCAACTATAGCATTACATCCTGGCCTTGGGTCTAAGCCCGTAAGTTGCACATTGATGCAACCAGTTCCCTGGGTTCTGATCTATTTCTATAGTGTTTCGCAATTTGAATTCCTTGTGCTTTGCTGGTGTTTGTGTTTTTCCTGTAGCAGGATATCAGTTCTTCCAGCATTCTTTGGATCTTCCAGCATTCTGGGATCTCAAGACAACGGGCAAAGGGAGTTGGTCTTGGAAGAAGTTATTGAAACTGAGATCAGAGGTTAGGACATTCTTAAGGTGTCGATTGGGGAACGGATCTTCCTGCCACTTCTGGCTGGATTCTTGGCTCCCACAGGGGCCACTGATTGCTGAACTAGGAGAATCCGGTCCGCGACAGTTGGGCATCCCTCGCCAATCCCTTGTGAGTGCTGTTTATTTTTCGGATAGCTAGCATCTACCTCCTGCACGGAGTGGAGCGGAAGTCAGTCTCCACAACCAGCTTCTTCAGCTGGGATTATCTGGATCTTCGAATGCGGTAGATACCTATTACTGGTCATCCACTTATTCTGATTCCTCATTGATGTCATTCAGTACGTCCAGGGCTTGGAATTTACTTCACTGCTTCTCCTCGACTGACATCGCTCCATGGCACAAGAGCATCTGGTTTACTGGCTCGGTTCCTAAACACGCGTTTATCTCATGGTTGGCTGTCAAAAAACGGCTACCAACGCGGGATAGATTGCTCTCGTGGGGGTTAAATACACCCCCTGATTGCTTACTTTGTGGGTCGGAAATTGAAACTACAGATCATATTTTCTTTGGCTGTGATTTTTCAAATGGGATTTGGACCTCTTTGCTGGTTTCATGTCCTCTCTCGGACTGTTTGGCATCATCATTGCAAGAAGTTCTCATATGGGCAAACCGATGTTCGAATGACCCGATGATTAGGCTCATGGTCAAACTACTGCTACAAGCGGCTATATACCTAATATGGAGGGAACGAAACACTAGGCTTCACGACACTCAGTCCAAACTGGCGGACATTATCCTTAAGGATATTCTAGCTACAACACGAAGGCGGCTTTCTTCGCTCAAAGGCTCAAGCATGGACATGAATGCACACGATTCGTTGCTAACAATTTGGTTTCGATACTTTGAATGTAGTTGATTCAAGATTTTGTATTATCTCATATGGGTCTGATTACTGCATCTTGGGATTGGGTGTTTTGATGTTCTCACACCAATCGTTACTGTACAACATATTTTGAAGTTAATACATATTTACCTTTACAAAAAAAAAAAAAATTGCTCCTTTTTTTTATGTAGTCAATAGTCTAATAGAAAGAAAGGTTATTTTACAGGGATTTAGGTTTTAAATTTGTTCATTTTTTAAAATGTAATTCAATATTTCGAACAACAAAATATATAGGGTTACATGCATGGGTATCCCGTCTCGTGTCACGGATACCCAAAATTCGGGTATCAAAATTCGGGTATCCGGATTTCGTGAGATAGAGATTGAGACATTGCAATCGAAAACCCAACGAGATCGAAGCTGAAATAAAAACACCTTAAAAAGTCCGGGTACGCGCCCGTGTCCACCTCTAGACTGAGTCTTTTTCTTCACAGTTCATGGGTAGACACAAAACTTTAGGTTATATTAGTTTATAAATTTTTTATATATTAATTATAATTATCCATAAATTCGGATGTTTCCTCCTGTATTCGGGATTAGAAAATATTAGGACTATTTATATATCAAAAAGTTTAAATGGTGACTGCATTAATATAAAACTGTACAATTTCAATTTACGCGAAAGAAGCACTATAACAATTTACACACATATATACAATAATGCACCCTAAAAATGAACGAGCAAGTCTTTCGTACCAGTTATGTCAAAATGAGCTAGATTCGTGAATCAGTTCGCGGTTGGCTCATTTTCTGTCGAATTGAGTTGGAAAAATATAAGACAAAAAAAAATTAGGTTGAACGAATCAATTCATTGCGAGCTCAAACCCAACCGAACCAGCTCGGTCAGCTCGTGAACTGATATTAATAAAATTACGATTTCATACTTTAACTTCTTCACCTCTTTTTTTTATTCTTCCTATATTGCGTCTCTCTCGATCTCTCTCCATTACGAATTCTTTTTTTCATTCTCACTCAGAACTCAGAACATTACTTTTCCAAATTCGTCGTTGTGGGTCTGACGATTTAAACGTCGATTTGCATCGCCATCGACTTCCTCATCTCCTCTCTAGGTATATCTCTTTGTTTCAATTCTATTTTTTCGATATAATTTTATGGTTTGTTATATTAAATATTTCATGTTATGTTGAGTGGTTTCACTTCCTCACTTCCTCATCTCCTCTCTAGGTATATCTCTATGTAGATTTCAAATTATTAATTTTTATATAATTTAAAAGATTTTTTAGATAATTAGATAAATATATGAAAATAAAATCAGCAAATCAATATCACTCATCTATTTCAATGAAGTTCAAAAGATTCTTACCTCCTCCTGAGTTTCATTCAATATAGAAATAACTATGGCAACTTGTGTACAGAATCTTTGTCATAACCATAGTAACCAATGGAATATAATTTTGATTAAGATTTAATAGATTACCATGGAATAATTTTTGGATCACCCGTAAATAATCCTTGTCATAACAAGAACTTGTACGCCCGGGTTTAATGAAACTCTTGCACAGTGTGAGACCAGACATAACTTCAAACGAAAGATTTCAAAATCACGACCCGAAAACGAATTAAACACTCCCTTAAAAGATTATTGTAACCGAACCATATTTTTACTTTAATTTATCATTACTCGAAACAAGCCAAACCGTTCAGCAATAAAACTGAACCGATTTAAGTTCTATTACATCGGGTCACAATTTCTTGAAACGCAAGAAAAATCGAAATCCAAAACGACGAGCCCTAAAGGGCTGCAGTAGCCGTCAAACACTGCAATCCATTTCATAATTTTAACCAGATTATTAATTTACAACGGAGTGTTCTCAGTCATATAAATACCAGTGCAAGACATTTTCGTTCCCCAATAAAGGACATACCAAACACATATGCGCATGCGGATGTCCAAGTCCAAAACTACATACGCAGCTTAAAAACGTGAAAGAATAGAAACATACGACTGTCCTCCTCGCCTGATGGCACCGCAGCATCAGTCTGCAATTCTGAAAATTAAAATGAATAAATACTTCATCCATCCAAGTAACTAAGACAACAACCGACTTTACTGTCTAAGGTGTGGGCAAATATCACATTAGTCAGACATTCAATGGCAGAGTGCAGAAGCTTGACATTGCCCTCGAAAAAAGAAAACAAAACAAAAATCTGCCGACTTATTTCAAGAAATTATCTGTTCTCATTTTGCTATTACCATCTGTGCATGGACAACAGATTTTGGGAGAAAGTGTAGAGAAAACAATCTAGAAAGAACTAGTCAGCATGCTAAACTGAGTTGAGCTGTTGACGTACCAACAAGTTTCATACATACCATAGGATTTTTATATAGTTTCCAAATGGTTCTCAGTTGCAAGTTTTATATTTCAAACTTCAATCAAGAAACTTAGAAAGTACCTTTTCACTTGGAAGGGGGCTGGCCTGCAAAAGATCGGTTGATACTTCTCTCCAATCCTCTTTTGCACCTTCGCTTGGTACTCCACTGAAGGTTCATCAGGTTTGTCGGGATTCTCCTTGACCAAGAGAGTGATGTATACTCTACTTATAGTGGACCATGATATGTTCACCCTCACCAATTTCTCAAATGTCACATTGGTTCCCTAAGGTACCATCATCGAATCAAGAAACAAAACAAGAAAGAATATGGTCCGAGATGGTAAACGACTAAAATTTTTGCATATGAACTTACATTAATCTGGTTGTATTTCTGCACAGCCTCCTTGGTCAATTCTTCCACGTGCTGACGCATGGTTTTGCCTGGTGCTACGTACTCATTGTCCAGATGTTTATCACTGTAAGGACTGATTCCTCCCACTTGGCACGGTTGAATGTTTTTTGGGTCAATGTAAAATCCCTAACCAGACAAGGATAGAAACGGGTAAGACCGAGGGAGATAACCTTATACTGTGTACAATGCACAAGATCTTATAAGGCCGAGTTTAGTCTACTTTGACTTAAATTCAAGCGGATCTACCAGAACGAAGACACCAAATCACACTATAAGGTATTCCGGATTGAAATTTGTAAGCTTTCACAGAACCATATGACCAGAAAAAGGCGATGTTCAATCAGACAGAACAAGTTCCAAGTGCAAACTCAATACCTTGTACGTATAATACTGCTTCATATATCTGCGGAATTTCTGATAAGACTCGTCGTCGGAAAACCCGTTATCCCTAGGGGATTCGTATTCGAGGCCCTCAAAGCTGTCGTACCCCCATTCCCATTCCGTGGAATCGTCCTCTGAAGAGTCCTCCGCCATGGATTCCGCAGGAGAAGATCCAGACGCCTCCGTGATTTCGGCAGATGAAGAACCTCCTTTCTCGATCTCGCCTTCTCCGCTGCCACCGGATTCATCCAGGCCTTGGGTCTCCGCCTTGCGCTTTCCCAAAGATGAAAAAGTAGCCTCCGCGGGAGCCTCCATCACGTCGTGTTCAGTCTCCATCGTCGTCTCTAACTCAACAACTGATTTGGGGGAAATCGGAACGAGAAAACCCTAGACGCACTTTTCGACCCGACTTAGGGCTTCCCGAGCTTTTTTGGTAAAGTACGATCCCAAGGGGATGAGGCCCCATTTATATTTCTGTATTCCACCCTTTTGTGAGTATAAATATCAAAAGGACTAAAAAAGGTGGCCTTTTCACCCCTTTTTGTTAATAATAACATGTCCAACCACTAGAAACATGCGTAGTTCATAAAGTAGGGTGAGACAAAACATTAATTTATTTCATGTACACTTAATTAAGGAACAGTTTTTGATATTTCAGAGTTAGCGAGAGATTTTGGGAAAATGTTTTTTTTTGTGATTCTCATTCATCATAGGTTCTTTAAATACAAATAGAAGAAGAGAAAGAGAAACCCTAACAAACCCTAACCAAACTACACCAAAACATATTAAACCAACAAATCAACAGTTCTACATATATATATTCTAATAACAGCCAATAGTAGTAACCATTTTTTAGTTTTTTACCCTTGGGAAAACCAAGTCAATGGAACGAAACGCACAACTAAACAGGAGGGCATAGATACATAATTCAGGGTTTAACCCTAAAACCTTAGAGATGAAATAAAAAAGAAATAAAATAAAGAGTAATCAAATAACTTTCTCCAAAAAAATCTCTCTCATCTGCGTCAATTAGCTAAAAAATGTGATCAACACCATATATCTCTGTGATGATGCATAACACATGAATATTAACTACCAAGACTGCAAAACCTTTACAGTATTTTTGCCATCTGAAAGGGGGCTGGCCTGCAAAAGACCGGTTGATACTTTTCTCTAATCCTCTTTTGAACCTTCGCTTGGTACTCCACCGAAGGTTCATCGGGTTCATCGGGATTCTCCTTGACCAAGAGAGTGATGTATACTCTTGTTGTAGCGGACCACGATATGTTCACCCTCACCAATTTCTCAAATGTCACATTGGTTCCCTAAGATACCATCATCGAATCAAGAAACAAAACAAGAAAGAACAATATGGACGAGATGTTAAACGACTAAAATTTATGCGCATGAACTCACATTAATCTGGTTGTATTTCTGCAAAGCCTCCTCGGCCAATTCTTCCATTTGCTGACGCTTGGTTTTGCCTGGTGCCACGTACACTTTCTCCAGCTCTTCAACTGTGTAAGGACCGATTCCTCCCCCTTGGCACGGTTGAATGTTTTTTGGGTCAATGTAAAACCCCTAACCATGACAAGGATAGAAACTGATAAGGTCGAGGCAGATTAGCTTCTAATTATGTCGTAATGAGACAACTGTTACGTGATCTGAAAAAAGGCCATATTCATTCAGACAGAACAGGTTCCAAGGGCAAAGTCAATACCTTGTATACATAATACTGCCTCATGTATCTGCGGAATTTCTGATAAGATTCGTCGTCGGAAAACCCGTAATCCCTAGGGGAGGCGTATTCGAGGCCGTCGAAGCTGTCGTACCCCCATTCCAGTTCCTTGGAATCGTCGTCTTCGGAGTGCTCCGCCGTGGTTTCGGTCGGAGAAGAAGAACCTCCTTTCTCGACCTCGCCATCGGAATCCTTAAGGTCTTGGATCTCCGCCTTGCGTTTTCCCAAAGATGAACGCAAAGCCGCTGCAGGAGGCTCCATCGTGCCGTGTTCCGTTGAAACAGGCTCCATAGCTGCCGGAGAAATTGGGATGAAGAAACCCTAACTGCACTTTTCGTCTCAATTTAGGGCTCCCACGAGCTAATTAGTCGAGTTACGATCCCAAGGGTGGAATCGTCTTATACTTTTATTCCACCGCAGTGTATTTAACCCTATTTACAATTGTGCCATTCCTTTTCCCCGAAATTTTAGTATATGATATAACAATATATATCCATTAATTTGTGACGAATCGTGTATTACTCTTCGTTAGTTTTCATCACTTTAAGGCAATTGAACTCATTTATCTCTCCATCGTTCGTCTGAAACTCAGTTAGATCCATCCATGGGTCGAAAATCTACCGTCTTATGCCCAAGACTATTCACCTTTTTCACCGACGCATTGTTGAACAATTAGGTTGGATATTTAATGACGTAGAACCATTGTAAAAAACAATATAATAAAGATAGCAATCATATATGGGCATACACATCTCACTATGAAACATGACAGAATGGAAACATATGGTTGACGTACGTGAACTTCAATTAACTTTGAAACTTTACCAATGCATATACCGTCGAAGGCGCGGACAAAGTTCATATTAGACGACATCCAAACGCCCAATGACTCAATGCATAAGTCTGAGACCACCCGTGAAAAAAGAGAACACGACAGCAATCTGTTGTCTTGTTTCAAGAAATTATGTCGACACCTTTTACTACTATCATATGTGCATGGACACAAATTATGTACGAAATTACCAACTTGTTTCATATATACTCATGCAGATCAAGGCACACCATAGGATATATATATATATATACCCGCATGATTCTCAGTTGCAGATTGTCTTTCCACATGGCAAAAAATCAAACTTTGAAACAAGAAATTTAGACAGGACCTTTTCACTTTGTAGGGGGCCTAGGGGCAGGCCTGCATAAAATAGGCTGGAACTCCTGGCGGATCCTACGCTGTACCTTCACTTGGTACTCCACTGATGGTTCATCGGGATTCTCCTGGCCAATATAGTGATGTACGCTCTAGTTCTAGAGGACCAGGATATGTTCACCCTCACCAATTTCTCAAATGCCATATGGGTTCCCTAAGAAACACAACGGTCTAACATGCTAAACGGCTAAAATCTTTTCATATACATGAACTTACATTAAACTGGTTGAATTTCGTAACAGCCTTCTTAGCCGCATCTTCCATTTGCTGACGCTGAGTTTTGCCTGGTTTGACGTACTCTTTCTCGAGCTCTTCAATGGTGTAAGGACTGATTTCTCTCACTTGGTACCTTTGTATGTTTTTTGGGTCAATGTAGAATCCCTTAACCATGACAAGGAGGATATAGAAACTGGTAAGGTCGAGGGAGATAACCTAGCATTGTAATTAATTACCCAACGTAAACTTTCACAGGACCGCATGCGATGATCAGACAGAACAAGTTCCCAAGTGCAAACTCAATACCTTGTGCTCATAATACTGCCTCCTGTATCTGCGGAATTTCAGACAGGATTCCTCGTCGGGGCATTCGTGCTCAGCAGGAGACTCGTATTGGAGGCCGTCGAAGCTGTCGTACTCCCATTCAAATTCCTTGGAATCGTCGTCTTCGGAGAGTGCCCCGCCTTGGTTTCTGTCGGAGAAGAAGATCCAGACACGGCAGATGAAGAACCTCCTTTCCCGATCACGCCCTCTCCGCTGCTTTCGCTGCCACCGGATTCCTCCAATCCCGGGATCTCCGCTTTACCCTTTCCAAGATATGAACACGTTGCCTCTTCGGGAGCCTCCATTATGTCGTATTCTATCTCCGTCGATCATCGCCCCCCAACTCTATTGATTTGGGGGAAATTGTGGAACCAGAAAACCCTAGATGTACCCAATTTTGGGTTTAGGGTCTATTTAGTACTTAAGATCCCAAGGGAAGGCAATGCTATATATATATAAACCCCTATCTACATTTATGCCATCAGAAAAATATTAGGCTACTTGCAATTTTACCATATGTTATCCTTTTTTTTCCCCTTTACAGAGCCATGCATGATCAGAAAACCCTAAGCAATTAGGCATTCCACCTTAACTTAACAAATCCTTTTTCCCCCTTTTTAAAATTTTGACAAAAAATGTAAACGTCAGAAAGAATACACACACATGCATTTGCATACTCATATCGCATATCCAACATGTTACATGTATGGTAAGAAATATTTTATACCATAGCGGTAATCTTGTATTTTGTGTATTTTTTTAAAAGTAATGTACCAAAATGAATTTCCCAATATATATATTGTTTTTTTGTGTGTGTGTTATGACCGTTCAAATCTAACCCTTTGTTTGACTTTGACACGCCAACCGACCATTTCTCTTTTATTTATCAAATCAAAATCCACCAACTTTAAAATTTTCACTTGGAGTTAACACTGCGTTAATGGTGGGTTCTTGTTCCTTTCTCGTTGACTCTAACGCGGTTTGTGAAGAATTTTTGGAGGAGCTCTGTTCATCCTGAATGAAACCCATGGAAGGATCCTTAATCTGCTTCGCAATCTTCTGGGCTTTTCCCATTTCTTCAGTTTCTGCTGATCACACCAACTTCATCTCCAACCGCTCTCCGACCCAAAAATCCCAAGACCCATCTCGGATCTTCTCCCAAAATCTCAAAGAGAGCGTCGATAATGCCTCTTTGGTCAACGAGGAAGTCGTAGGAGCGGGTACTTGGAAGAGATTTCTGGAAATTTGATGTTTTTCTGGATGTCATTGTCGGAATTAGAGCCCCCGATCTTCTATGGTTTTGTGCGTTTAGTTTTATTCTTTGTCCTGACGAAGACGTCATTAACGCTTCTTACAGTTCCTATGTAAAAACTCGAGCTTAACTTCAGACATGAAGTTCTTCGATTACCTGTCTCAGCTATGACAGAACCTGTTATTTCCTCCGAAGAGGAGCGACTATGGAATATCGTAGAAGCAGATTCCGCAGAGTTTGATGCATGGATTGCCCTAATCGATGAGACAGAAAAGGTGGCTGAGGTATGCTTGGATTTCTATGACAATGCTATAACTGTATTTGGCGTCTAGATCATATTTCCATATTTGGATCTTGTAAAAAACATAGATGACGGTTTAGTTTGTGCTTAATGAATCGCTGTCACATGTGCTCTCCTTTGGTTAAGCTTCTATATCAGTTTCTCAATCCCATTGCTATGTATAGCTTCACGTTATTGCTTCTGAACCATGTACATGACAATATAACGAAAATCCGAAAGGTCTATAATGCTTTTCTAGTTTCCTTTGTGCTATGGGTACTGGAGAAAATATGCTGATCACGAGGCTCGGTTGGGGGAAACGGGCAAAGTTATCGCGGTTTACGAAAGAGCAGTGCAGGCACTGGCTTATTCAGTGGACATTTGGTTGTGTTATTGCAAATTTGGTAAGTGCTGACATTGTTTGTTCTGAAGTTTTAAGGAACTAGCCGAAGTGAGGCCTCTGTCTGAGCTGAGTTCTGCGGAGGAAACTGCTGACTTTATTGATTCCGAGGAGGTGAAAAAATATGTTGCCATCAGAGAACACATGTACAAGAAAGCTAAAGAATTTGAATGTAAGATCATTGGCTTTGAAATGGCTATAAGGAGACCTTATTTTCATCCAAGGCCTCTGGATATCGAGGAGCGTGAGAATTGGCATAACTATCTGGATTTCATTGAAAACGAAGGTGACTTCAATAAGGTATCGAGTCCTACCTTTCCGGATTAATACATTATCACCCAACGTGATAGTTGGATAAGCAACTTCGATGAAGGAAACTGAACTAAGACCACAACATTTGTTAACTTCAATGCTAACTGTTCAAACCCTCACTGGCCAGTGAACTAAAACATCAGATTCAAGCGTTACAGGCCCGAGTCTTGTTAGTGCAGGAATCGTCATCTTCATAATGATCCGTTTTTTCTGCTACGGGTGTATTTCTTTCTTCTCACTTATGCTCTGTTTCATATGTATGTTTTCTTCCGTCATAGTAATCACGATATATGCTCTACAACCGATTATTTCCTCTTGAATAGGTGGTTAAGTTGTATGAAAGATGTTTGATTGCGTGTGCAAATTATCCTGAATTCTGGATGTGGTATGCATCATGCGCGGAAGAGAATGGACGTATGGATCTAGCAGAAAATGCCCTTGCTCGAGCAACTCAAATCTTTGTCAAGGTATGTAATTGTAATGATTTACTGAAGATCCTTGTAATATTTATCCCTCTACAAAACGTATGATGCACTTTCTCAAACAACGGTTGAATGGGCATCTCCAACTTGGTAAACTGAGTCTGTTACATGGATGCTTGAAGGTTTCTGGCTAATAGCAATAGTTAAGGTGATGCATAATCACCTGTTGGGTGTTCCTCTATATCTGCTTTATCGGTCTGCTTCTTGTTTTATGTCAGAGAGATCCTCGGATTCACATTTTTGCTGCTCGATTTAAAGAGCGGAATGATGACATAGCTGGTGCAAGAGCTGCATATCGACTTGTGTACTCTGAAATTGCACCTGGATTTTTTTCTGAAGCCACTGCTGGTGCAAGAGCTGCATATCGACTTGTGTACTCTGAAATTGCCCCTGGTTTTTTTTCTGAAGCCACTATTAGACATGCGAACATGGAGCATCGGCTGGTAAGTTTCTTTGAGCAAAGCTAAGGAAAGGGGGACTTTCTGATTCTTTAACTCGGTCTTTCATCTAATATATACAGGGGAACTTGGATATTATGCCTTCTCTCTATATGAACAAGCAACTGTGATCGAAAAAGGGAAGGAGCATTCGTCAATTCTACCGGTTCTGTATGTTCACTGTGCGAGGTTTTCATTCTTGGTACACTAGATTTCTGCTGCTGAAACTTCACACTAAAAAGCCATAAACCATTGTAGATTTGCTTCGAGCAATTC